CACACACACACACACACACACACGCACCCCCACCCCACCCCACCCCAGTCATCAGCGAGACAGGCCTGACGGACAGAGGAGACCTCGCCACTGTCAGGTCCAAGGGGCCCACGTATTTCGCTCGGACCGGTCGGCCCAAGCTGAGTGATTTCGTGGCCAGCAGGGCCCTAGGGGACGTCATCAGCAGCGTCAGTGCATCATCTAATTTCCCGCTGTCGCCGCGCCGCCCAGTCGTTGCGCAGATCAGCGTAGGTCAGCGCCATCTGACCCCCAGGCTTGCCCAGCCCCAGCGTCTCCCCACCAGGCGCTCAGCAGGCCCCCGTCCTGCAGCCCTTCGAATGGGCCCGATCTGCGCCAGCAGCGCTGCAACACCAGAAGCTCCTCGAGGACCCCAGCCTTCGGGGCCAGCAGCGCAAGCAAGCATTAGACGCTGCCTTCGACATCCTTATACTGGACCTGGAGGCCACAGTAGCTCAGCAGACGGACGCCCCACTCAGATGCCGCGGCAAGAAGTGCCAACCCCCAAAGACTGTCTGGGTGCCCGCCGAAGCGGCAGAGGCGAAGTACAGGGCTAGCTGGCAGCCCCACGCCCGACCACCCCGCTGGCTCGCCAATCGAGTGCTCGACGTTTTGCGCGCAGTCGACAATCAGATTTCTTCCAGTTTGAGAGATGTTCAGCCCACCGTGCAGGATGCGCCGCTGGAGTTCCAACAGGTGGCGGGTCTTTAGACTCTCCCGCTTAGGTTCCGTCAGTTGCTCGACGCCCTCGAGCTGGGCGCCAGCCAGCGCGCTCGCGCCATTTCCTGCGAATTTCACGAGGAGGCCAGGGACTTCCACGACCAGGGGCGGAACAGAAAGCCCGAGGGGTGGGATGGGCCGACAGATGGCCCAAGAATACAACCTGCTGGAGACCCCAAGAGGTCAAGGCCAAGAGCGGCCGATGGACGGGGCAACCCCCGGCCCTCCTCCTCCACGCGTCGGACCGCCTCGCCGACCTCTGGGGGGCCCAGCCTCAGAAGAGCCCCAGGTGCCCACCCCAGCCAGAGGACGCCGCAAAAAACTCAGCACCATTACCCCAGAGGTCCTGAGGGAAGCTATCCGGACTTTCAGCCACCAGAACTGCCAGACCTGGGACGGAGCCCACCCTAAGCACCTCGGCCTGCTCACAGACGAGTAGCTCCAGGTCTTTGGCAAGTTTTTGATGCGCGCCGAGCAGACGGGGGCCATGCCTACCCAGATCCTGGCCACCCTCGCGAACCTGATCCCGGAACTGAAGGCCACAGGAGGGCCGGCCTATTGATGTATCGGATTACCTCCAGGGCTGCATCGGATCTGGGTTACAGTCAGACAGAGTGGAGCCAGGAAATGGGAGCGCGAGAACCCCTGCAGCTCCCTGGCGCACCAAGCAGGCCGCAGCATCCTTGAGCTAGTAGCTCAGCAGCCCCTCCCAGCAGAACAGCGCAGCCATTAGCAAGAGCCTCTGCGCACAG